TTTTACCAACTGGAGGTCGCTCTGGTAGTATTGGACCGGGTACTGAAAAAAGAAAAGACAAGTTTTTATCTATAGGCAGAATATACTTTATTTCCGACCATTGGTGTTTTTTAGATTTCATTTCCAAATGTAGCAGAGAGATGCACAATAGCAATATAATCCCAAGAGACCAGATTAAGTTTAGTTTCTAAGATTCAGAAACATATATTTCATGGAATAACTATTAAGTAGAGGCATTCGGGAGGGAATGTTACTCTGACCAACTTAAAGGAGACATGTACTGAACTGTAATTGCTAAGCTCCTTTTAAGAATCCTACTTCCATTGATGTTTATGGCTTCAATACTTTCTAAAGCTGTCCATATGCTATGGAAGGATTTTACAATCAGATTGTAAATCTCCTTTAGCTTTACCAAAACCAGTGGCATAACAATCACCATAGCGACCCAGTCGGCCGCTATGGGGCCCGTGCACAGGGGGGCCGGGCCAGGCATCCCTCTGATGCCGTGTGGGCCGCCTGGGTCGCTATGGCGTCTCGGGTGCTGGCTGTCACTGACATAGCTCAGCAGCTGCTGTGAAGGAAAATGTTTCCACTCACAGCCGCTGCGGAGCTGTGTCAGTGACAGCCAGCAGATGCGGCAGAATAGGCCGGTTACATCGGTGTTCTATCGATAGTCCAAACTTATCGAGTTGTGGGACCGCATGACTTCCGGTCCCAGAACTCGATAAGTTCGAACTTTCGATCGATCACCGACATTTGCAGTAAAGAAGGAGGCGGGGCCCGCCTAACAGCAAACCCGCCTCCTCTCACATCACTGGCCAGTGATCTAAGAGCAGGTGGGGCCAGTGATGTAAGAGGAGGCGGGGCCCATCGATAGAAGGAGGCAGAGCCCGGGAACGGAAGAGGAGGCAGGGGCCCGGAGGCGGCGACCACGGAGGTGACAGGTAAGAAGCGTACAGCGCAACTGAGACCTTGCAGAGCCCACCATAGACAGTCTATGGTGGGCTCTGCAAGTGGCATAACTAGCAATCACAGGGCCCCATACAAAATTTTGCTATGGGGCCCTGTGATTTCTAGTTACGCCCCTGACCAAAACTATGTAATATGAAGACAAACCTAAACAATCCTTTTGAATAGTTTCAAATCAGACAAACCCTTATACTAAATAGTGGAATGGGAGAGCTTAAAGGTGATTATACAATCAGATTGTATATTGAATGTTTTCAACACATGCAGATTGGAAAGTCAGAACCCCTGATCTGCATTCATGATCTTCTAGGTCAGAGTGAGTTTAGCATGGCATCCAGGCACTAGAATTTTTCAGAAAGAGCAGTTAGTAATGACAGCATATGTATTCTGTTTGTGCATGTTTCCTTTAAATGTTTTTTGTTAAAGCACTTTGATATACAGTTGTATAATCTGAACTATTCTAAAACAAAGTAACTGTTCTTTTTTCCCCCCAAAGATTTAGGTCCCTATACAACACCAACTCCAGCAGGTATATTTTAAGTGTTTTCTTGTTTTTGGAAAGAGGTTTCAAGCCCACGTACCAGGTGTCAAAAAAGCTTAAAATAATAGAGGTGCCACACAAGGGGAATTAATAAGAGAGCAAGGGTTCTATCAAAGTGAACCACATTGATACTGCCTGAAGCAAATAATTCTGTCAACACCCATGTGTGCCAAGCCATATGCTTGAATAGAAATTTTGCATATTGATTGTTACTATTAGGTGCACATGGAGTGTAAAAAAAATTTCCCCTCAGATTTGTAAATTCATATATCTTGCAAATCTAATGTTAAAAATAAATGTTTTGTACAATAATCAATAGTACCTTGTGGTAAGTAGTGGTAATATTTTCTTTATCCCATTAATCTAAATATCACTAAATAAACCTGAATTCTTATGGTATACAACTTAGCAAACAGATACATTTCAGTTAAATATGACTTCCTCTTCCAGCATGTACTCTTGATTCATTTGTGGACACAATGTTATATCTGACTGACTAGATAGCAGCCAAAAATAATCCTAAAGAGATTTGGTTGTGAAAATCTCCCAAATCCACTGCAATCAAAAATAAATAGTTCGGCAGTGCTTAAACTTACTTAGGTGGACACAGGGTACTACAGAATGACAGTTAAGTCGGCCATAGAATTGACCACTGTGTCGGTGGATTTACAGTACCTGACCAGCCAATGAGATTTGGTGGCACTGTAACTTTGAGTGCACTACGCCAAAAAGCACACAAAGGACACACTCTTTCTGTTTCAGCACTTCTAGTTCAGCTTCAGGTATCTTCTATAAATTGTGCTTTTTCCACCACCACTCGTAGTAAAATAATACAGCAGTAAAGTGGAATCCACTAAGCCATTCATGATTTCAGTAGAAGCAAACCGTGTACAGCAATTGAATCCAACAAAAGAATAAAATTACAGTGGACAGCATTAGAAACAACCGCAGTGCCAGAAAGCCACTTACTATTAATTTTGATTAACTGGTCATTGAAACTGAGAAGCAATCAAAGCCATTGTTAGCAGATTGCTTTGGACCATTCAGTTCCATGTGATTGTTGGAAGCTGTACAGTATATGAGAGCTGTTTTACCAGCCAAATTATTTTTTATGTTTATTCATCTAGTCTTGAAATTTACGGCTTAGTCCACAGTTTCAACCAGAACAGCACCTCAAGTCAGGCTGGTTCTTCTGTGCCATCTATTTTGCTATCCCATAGTGTTGTGGGAATTCTTTGTCATGTATGAAATGTTTATTTGTAAAACAAAAATTGTATATAGATTAAAAAAGCAAAAAGTCAACTGCAAAGGTTACCTGTTTGAGCAGTAGTTTCATACACGAAGCCCTGCAGCTGGAAGTTTGTTTATATCCTCTTTTCCTTTACCCGCTATGTATGGCCACCAACAGAGGAAGCTAAAAGGCAGACAAGAAACAAACTTGTATTCACACCTGTGTTTCATTAATGCGCAGCAAACGTGCATAAAATGCATGATTTGATGCGTGCTTGCGAAACACGTAACAAACACGCTTGCTGTGCCATTACAAGTTGCAAACATGGCTGGGCAAAAGCAAGTTTTTCCTCAGGGTTTGCAAGCGTTAAAACACGCAGAAATCCAGAGAAAAAATGCAGAATGCATGTCAAAATGTTTTAGATATGTGCTACTTTTGAAACCAAATGGGACACACGTAGAGTTTAGGGCTAACTGCACTAAAATTGCAGTTACACATGAACAGCAAATTACATTGTAACATATAAAGGTTGTACTGTATATAATAATATACTGTACATCGAAATACTTCTGTATTCTCATTATGTTCATATGTTTAGACCTATGATTGTATTGTTTAACCTCAACTGTGGAACCCAAGGTGGTGTTAGGAGGTTTCCTCTGAGCTGTGTGTTCTTTTACATTTTTCTATGCATGATCCAATGCTTTTAAATTTTGTTTAATAAATATCTATATATACCCCCAAAATAAATAAAAACCCCCAGATGATAGCCCTAAAACAAAAATCTACTCTGCAAATATGTAGATTAACCTAAAATAAAGACCCTATCAACATAAAAAAAAACCAATATATTCCCAAAATGAATGAAAATTTTAAAATATTACCCTCTGAAACAAAAGTCTTTTATTTTTAAAGGGAATTCTTGTCTGGATGGGGCAGCAGCTAAGCGAGACTGCTGACCCTAAATGAACCACATTTTAAAATTAAAAACAAAAAGTCCCCAATAATAAGAACACAAAAAGGCATCAAAGGGGTTGATTGCCCATTTAGCTAGCAATCAAAATTAAATTTAAGTTTGTTTCATAACTGGCCCTAATCTCTTGCTATGCACTTTGTCAACTTTCCCTGTCCTTTCCCATAGCAGCTTCCAATATACTAACCCTCTCTCCACTTCCACCCCCCCCCCTTCATTTTATTGAGAGGCTGCTGGCTTATCCAAAAGCTCTCTGGGTGACCCTTCTAAGCCTGCTGGTCATAGTTCAAAGGCAATGCAGTAAATTATGATATAAAAATAAATATCCAGGTGTATCTGCAGATACATTCATCTGGATCCTCCTTGAACCTATAGTAGTGGCAAACCTCAACCTCAACCTCAAAACCTGCAGCAAAAAAAGTAATATCTCATACATGGAATCAAGGCCAAGCAACATGCATATGCAGTAAAATTAAAAAAAAAACTGTTGTGCAGAAAAAGTATTGGAAAGAGAGTCACAAGCACACCATCGTCTTCATGAATAAAATGTATTTTTTTTTACATCTTTAAATAGACATATCACAGATAGGAGTGCAAAGTTTTGCGAACATGAAGGGGCCCTTCATCAGGCAAATGTCTATTCAAAGATGTTAATAAAGGCATTTTTATCATGAAGATGATGGTGTGCTGGTGACTCTCTCTCCAATGTTGTTCCTGGCGGCGCTACCCACCTATGATTTCAGCACCCAATAAGAGACAGGCTTTCCACGTTGATCCAAATCTGAAATATGTGGCTATAACAGAAAGCACTTTGTTCACTGAAGACCTGGACCAGGATCCTTGAAGGTTTAGGGGCTGCCGTTCTGCAAATGATGCTGGGGATTTGGTCAGAATGAATGGTCTCTTCAATGCTAAAAAGTAAAGGCAGATACCTAATGCAATATTATCAGTTCTAAATTCCTTCTGTAGCAAAACAATGACCCCATCATACTTCTATAGTTAAAATAATAAATGGTTTGTTCCCCTTGGTGTTTGAAACAACCTTCCTGCAGAGTTCCTGTTTGCAAGTGTACCTAGGAGAACTAATACTGTTTTTAAAGGCAATACTTGGGCACACCAAATATAGATCTGATTTAGTTTTTTTTGCACTTTGTAGGTTGTTAATTGATAATTAAAAAATATTAATTGCATTATTTTTAAAAGTGTATTTCATGTGTGTGTATATTAAGGACAGGATCCATAAGTGTTTAATACATTGACTTTTTCATTTTTTCTCTCCCTAATAGCCACAACACCACAAAAAAAAGGTAAGTGTTTTACTGTTGTACCTTCTTAAATTATCATTTTAAATATGGCACTAGTGGACTGGGGAATCTTTCATGCAAGATGGCCTTTTACAGTCTCACCTCACCCCTCAAAACAAATCCAAATAATATATGGAGCATGTTTATATTATTAATTAGTAGGGGAATGTACAGGGGTTCAGACAGTGCCACATCCTAACATATATTGATACAGGAAAGCAGCAAACAATGGACTTTTTAGACACCACCATGACCACTTACATTTGTATTAAAAAGAATATTTTATTTCATACATCTGTGTTAAAATCACATAATAAAGAATAATTATCTTTATTATGTGATTTTAACACAGATGTATACAATACAATATTCTTTTTAATACAAATTCTAGTGGTCATGGTGGTGCCGAAAAAGTCTGTTGTTTGCTGCTTTCCTTTATCCATTAACAGTATATCATTAATAATCACAAAGATATTACTAAATCAAGGAGTCCATAGCTGAAATGTAAACATTTTTCTGAGCCGCATGTTGTAAAGCATTGTAAGTGCTGAAGTGGTTAATATATTTTGCAAATATATTACATACAAAACTGCACATAAGACAACACTGTGAATTAATTTTCATTAGTGTATTAAAGCATATGCATTCGAGTTAAAGGTATAATGGCTAATGCAAATCCTGATACTTAATCATGTAGTGGTGACAGATATTTATTTGGGGGTCAGTAAGTGGAAATAACTATGCAGTCAGAAATTACTTTAAAGTTTAAGTCCAGGCTAAACAAATATTCCTTAAATACAAGAGCTGTGTGCATTCTTGCTGAACTTCACATTTGCATTAGTTTTCATACATACATTGGTCCAGCTTGGAGATACTACAGTGCTGGCCGCAAGTGCTGGTACTGAGCGGCTTCCCATAGAGCAAAAGCTTTGTATTTTTATCAATGAATGCAAGGCGTTTGCTAATTGGATAAGGGGGTCATGTCACAATCCACCCCTCATCCATTCCAATCCATAATTTCTTGTTACTTTAGGTGTTGTTCTTCTTGTGGCATAATTGTATGATGATGGTTTATCACCACACCAGCAACATCTTATTTATATGAATATTTTCGTCTTCGTCCACAATTTCAAACTGTACTTCATTTTTCTATTTCTAGGTTGTTGTACACCTTCAGGAGAGTTTGTCAATGTAAGTCTTATGATGAGTGCATGCAAAAAACATGTTTTACTGCCAGACAAGTTTCTAAATTGTTTGTTGTAATAACAGGATGGAGGTTCCTGGGAAAAAGATTGCATCACATGTACTTGTAATGGAAACACTGGGAAGATGAAATGTGGATCATATCCATGTGATGAAAAAGTAGTATGTGGTATGAATGAAACTAAAGTATTTGGAGATCCATCTAAGCAGTCTAGAACATCTTGTTGTGGATATTGTGGTAAGTGCTAATGCAGTTAACTTAAATTGTAAATTGAATCCATCCATGCACTAGTTTCTCTTAACTTAAATCGGTATTCTTTCGTACTTCTAAGCCCTGCTCCAATGAGAACCTTGTCTTTTCAGCTACACCAAGGGGAGTCTAACTTCTTTACTTTTTACACCATAATAAAATTTAAATGGAAAATTCATCAGTGTTTCCTCTGGCATTGACCACAAATGTTAGGCTGACCCAGAAACTCAAAGAAGAGTTCTTACCAATGCAGTTAAAGGCAAAGCCAGCCCAAGCTTTTTATTGTGTACTGGGTATGGCAGAGAAGGGTTAGAACATATCAAGTTTTTACTTCAGTCAGACAAGAGCTATTGGACTCAAGATCCCAAGCATGTCCAGTGTGATGACTTTATAACTTTATAGCTTTTGGCAGTACAGAGGCACCTCAATTAATATAGTCCTAAGTGGTTTTCTGTAGAAAACCATGTAGAAGGCATTGCAGTATAGTCATTATAGGACAATCCAAATAATGCACAAGAATAGAACAAGTTTAAAAAAAAGAAGAACAGATGTGTATGACTGCTCACCTTTGAGTTTCAACTACAGTTACCACATTGGAGATGCTTGGGACAATTGAGTCAAAGTTTTTTGTCTGTTTAGAGTAGTAATATTTAGGGTGTTCTATGTGTGGCCTCTTAATTGTTTTTATACATGTTTGCTCTTTTAGGAATATATTTACCTTTTGCATGTTAATAAAGTGAATATTACTTTCTATATTGTTGTGATACATCTAGATTTTATGTCAAAGCCCTTATATTAAGTTTTTACTACTATCTGTAACTCTGTTGGGGAGAGTTCCCCTTTCTTCCACTCAGGATGAGAGTAATAGGAAATCTGTATGGAGATACAGACGAAACACATTTTTGTAGAATGAGGAAGGGTTAGAACATCTGACAATATTTTTATTGCCTGCCTTCCTTCCTACCCCATGACAACTGGTCCCTTTATTTCTTGTATAGGCGCCACAGGGAAAGAAAGTGAGGAAAAAATTTCCTCAGACAGAAATAACAAACTGACCAATAGTAACTCTTTCCCACTCTATTCAAACCTAAAAAATAAAACAAATATTCACTAAAGTCAGGTTTTATGTCAGTGACAACTTTCAATATTGCCTGCCATCAAGAGGAAACATGGGTGAACAATGATCTACATGTGGCATGCGTCTTATTCCATGTTTCAGATTACACCATTTCCTTATTTTACTCTATTTAGTGCATTGGATACATTAGAAATCTTTGAGTAATTTAGGTTAAAGACAAGTCCAGGCCAAACATTTTATTTTGTACTGGATATGGCAGGGAAGGGCTAGTGCATCTGTTACAAAAATTTGATCTCTGAGTGGGGCAGGTATGGGTGAAGAATGTAGAAGCATTTCTTAGGTGGTACCTCACACACAGGGCAACTGCTTGGAGATAACTACAGGTGGGTGGTTAGATTACAAGTCAGCCAGAGCTTAGGGGTCCTGCTTGGGGTAACAGGTCAAGATTAGAAGATTCTTCTACTCAGCAATTTTAAAGTCAACTGGAGATTTTTTTTTAAAGTTTTGAATAAACTAAGGATGAGTGAATATCTCTTAAGTTTTTATCACTGTCTATGACCATGTTCAGGAGATATAACATCACTTCATGTCCTTGTGACAGACTGTGAGTTCGGGACAAGAAATGAGGGGTGTGGCTGTCCCTGAAACAGGAAGACACAAACACTAATAAGAACCTGACAGAGGTTCTAATTCTTTCCAATGTTGTTGAATAAACATTGTATTGCAGTCAGAGATACGTCTTTTCTCAACAACAACAGGTGGGGGCTATTTTTCCAGTGAAATTGCAGACCACAAACCTGACCAACCTCTAATAACCATGCTCCTACTCTAAAAAGTAATACTCTTAACCAGGTTAAGTGGATATAAAAATATATTTCAGTCACTATAAGAGTAACCACATAAACACACATAGATCTGAGAAATCTTGGACAAAGAATAAGTTAAATCACCAATATCCATTTATTGGTAAGGTTACATATTTACAAATGACACACAAAACTATATTTACAAGACAAAGTACTTTACAAGCAGGGGCAGACTGACCAATCGGGCTGCCGGGCACTACCCGAGGGCCTGTGGCCCCTGCCCCCCAGATTACAATTCCCTTTACTTATGCCCCGTGCCAGCCTGTCTGTGGAGCGCATAGTCCTTCCAGCATTCCGGGCCGAGCTGAAGTGATTGACATGAGCAGGATATGAAGACAAGACACTGGGACCACTCTGTTCGAGGAGAACATCATGAAGGAGATCTGGGCAGTGGAAAGGAAGGTGCAGAGAGGGAGGGCGGTGGGGGGCAGTATCCCATGCACACAACCAAGGTCTACTGCCACCATAGGAAAATTTACAATTTGAATACAATGTCAGCTGCCTATATATTTGCATCAGTTTTTACTAAAAGGAGCATCTTCCACATGCATAATAAAAAAAGTCAGAGTCACACTATGGGGTCTATTCCAGCCGTAAGATCACGGCTGCTCCGCCCAGCTGTCAGAAGCAGGCTGTCGGCCGGCCAATGGCCGGCCGCACGGCCAGCTTCAGCTTTCAGCGCGGCTCAGCCGAGCCAATGCATATGCGTTCGGCTTGACTGAGCCGCTCGGCCACGTTCGGGAGCTGTACGGGCTATTGTGAATAGCCCGTACAGCACCCCTTCGGTTCAAATGAACTGAAGGGGTCCTGGGGCCGAAGCTAGCCGAAGGATCGGCCGAAGCTACGGCCAGATCCTTCGGCAGCTTCGTGAATAGACCCCCATGTGAGCATTTGTCTCATGAGTTTGCATACGGGGTATATGATGTTTTCTTAGTGTAGTGTATAAAAATTATGTGTGGTGTGCTCTATAGGTGAGTGAGGACTTGACTCATATATTTTTACTAATGTAACACATTTGCATAAATTATGGTTAGTATATAAGGTTTTACTATAAAATTAGGTTGAAAGAGATTTTTTTATTTTCTTACAGCACCACTGACTTGCAAACACAATGGAAAAGAATATCAGGTAAAGTCATTTGCTACACTTTCGAAAGTAGTTTTATTTAAAATATTAAGGCTTGAAGTAATGTGTATAGCATTTTTAATAAAGGAAAAGGTGTTACATTGTGGGAGTGGGGTAAAGTCATTTTAACATGTTACATGTACTTTAACATGTACTCTAATTACATAATATAATTTTTTGGTGTGTTAGATTAAGGTTAATACTGGGGTTATTTATAATACTCATAAAGTCATGTTTTTGTTGTTAATGTTCTAGATAAATGAATCCTTTAGAGATCCAATGGACCCATGTCTGATCTACACTTGTCTTGCAAGTGGTTTGACTGCAGAGACTACAAAATGTCCTCCACAATCATGCCTACCGGTAATATGCACATTTTATCAAACCAATTTACAAACAAATAAAAAAAGGAAGAACAAAGCAATTATTGGGTTTCTTGCATGTATGAGAAAATAGATTGGCCATAGCAATATAGTGCATCAGAACCAGGCAAACCACCATGAAATCAGAACTAAAAACTTTCAGCTAATACAAATTTCAGCTAATACACAACATAACCAATTTTACAATACTTACCTGAACAATACGATGATAAATTGCTGTCTTAATTTTAATATATTGTATATTAATTTTAGAGGCTAACAGTACTAAACTACAAAGAGATGGACAAAAGTATAAATGCACTTACTAATTTACTTTGGAGGCTAGAATGGCTGTGAAAAGTATTTCTCTTGATTTAAAATTTTCTCATAAGAGAAGGTATGTAAGCATCCATTTTCTGTGGTTAATAGGACTGACATTTCCATCTTTGCTTGCGGATAGGCATGGGAGGGCTTCCCTGTAGTTGTTGCTGTAAATTACTATAAATGACAATGATTTTTGTGTACGTAGAGTCCTAGAGATATGGATTTTTAATGAATAAATAATTTATACCTTCTTCACCATTTAAATTGGTATGTAGTTTTTGTAAAGAATTGTGGGATCCCCTCTCCCTGGGGAACACTTATTTTTCTAAATAACTTTGAATAGTTAGGGGACCCCCATTTATATCTCATTTATATTAGAGATATTGTGCATATACCTTCCCTTCCCCGTTCTTTTTTGCTAAAGAAATGACAATAAGAGGCTTTCAGGGAGATCCCAGTGGTCAGTTGTAGATGGGTGCAAAAGGCAAAAAAGTTTTACTAAATGTGAAGAGGCATGTGTGCTGCTTTCTGTAGGAAGCTGGGCACTCCACATTGGTACAGCACTTTAGGTGGACTCTTCCTTAGAAAGGTCCCTTGGCCTAACAAGAGAGAAGTATCCCCGTTTTAATTCTGTTTAGAGGAGCAGGCAAGTGACCCATTATGTATCTGATTTGTTATGTAAGCCCCAAGAGAAGAGCATTGTGAGACTGGAAAAGTGTCAAAACCATCATCTGCATCCACTGGGGTTTTCTTTACGCCTCCTATTGTGTATGAGTGTGAACTCATAATTCAGCCATACAGATTTGCTCAGTTTGTTTTTAATTTATATCAACATTGTAAAAAGATTTTCTTTACAGAATCATCAAAATAAATTTGCAGTTTAGGATATTAATATACATTGCAGGCCAAATTTTCTTTGATAGAGATCCTCTAAAAACTTAGCATAAGCATTAAAAAAATTAGAATTTAGCCAGAAGAACATTATTTTAGGGCAAAAAATGTTTGACCGCTGTAAGTATTATAATTATTATTTTCAATAAACATATTTCAAAATAGACGTATAACTCCACAAAGGTGGTGCAAACTAAACATGTACAAGTTCTAGAAGGTAAAAGTTACCCTGTCATTAGAAAAATAAGGAGGCTGTCATTGTTGACCTTCTTCTGAAATTTATGAAATAGATGGCTATTATGCTCACCTAGAATGTTTAATATTAATACTAATTGACCTGGAACAAGTACAGTATTTAGATGTGAATGTAAGAGAAAAACCAGGATCGTAATCAGCATACTGATTCTGGATCAATAACTCAAATTATCAAACATAGTGAGTTTGCATGTCAACCATGCAACTATCATTTTCAAAGGATAAGATCAACAATGGCAGCCTCCCTGTTTCTGTCATGACACATTTCTTGTTCATACGATTATAGTCCAGGTAGATTTGTAATATTGTTAAGGATGCACTTTGTGCATTACAACATTATTTACTAGTTATGTTACATTGCTCTGTGCTCATTTAATTTAATTGTTTGATTACTAACTATACTTTATTACCATGTGGCTTTTTAGGAAAGGAGAACATATGATAAATATGGATGCTGCTATACATGTAAGTGAAAGTATTTATTTTTTCATGGCACAATGTATGAGTCAGAAGCCTGTTGTGTCAGAAGTCTGTTGATACAGCTCTGTAATCATAATATATCCTTAAATCTAGATTTTTAAATGCAAGCAGTGTAAATACCTAAATTTGACTTGGCATTGGAATCTTGTAGTACCTGCGCACCAGCGCAAGGAGCATGTTAATAGGGGGAAAGAGCAGAATTACTTAGAGATGAACTTATCAATCTGCTGCTTCTCCTTTCATTCTAGTCTCCACACCTGCCAGAATTACCTATGTGATGTGGTCATCTAAGTAGTCATCTAACATCTCCTATGTGAACTGTGACTCCAGTGCAACTCTGAGCTTCCAGTATAATCTAAGGATCCCTGTGTGTCCCATGACTTCGGTGTACCCCAGTGCATCCTGTGTCATTCTAGTGACCCCAGTGTGCCCCTGTGGTCCCCATTATTTTAGTCAACCCATGAGCATCCAGTGTCATCTAGTGACTCCTATGTGCCCTATGACTCCAGTGCATTCAGTGTAATCTAGTGACCACTGTGTGCTCCAGTGTGTACCATGACTGTTATCTTGAAGCTCCTTCGCTCCGGCCGCTTCTCGGCTCCGGCCGCTTCTCCTCTGCCCGCCCCCCCGCCTCCTCTACATCTGCAGGCTGAGAGCCATACCCAGACTGCTATTGGATAAAATGCAATACCCAGTAGCAGGCTGGCTATTGCACCTGCCCACTGGAGAGTTCTCCATCAGGTCCTCCTATGCTGATTGACAGCAGGCAGTGGGCAGATGCAATAGCCAGCCTGCTATTGGCTATTGCAATTTAAAATATCCAATAGCAGACTGGCTATTGCTCCCAGCAATAAAGTAAAAAAAAAATGTAAAAAATTAAAAAGACAAATAAAGTAAAAAAAGTTAAATAAATAAAAATTATAAATGTAAACAAATAAAAGAAATAAAGTTTATAAAATAAAATAAAGAATAGAAAAAAACATTTGTGTAAAACAGATGTGTAAATCTGTTTAGCCTCTCCTTTTGACATGTGCATCTGTTTTGACCAGAGGTTGCGCTATTTTGCCAAAAAATTTAAACAAATAAAAGAAATAAAGTTTATAAAATAAAATTAAAAATAGAAAAAAACATTTGTGTAAAACAGATGTGTAAATCTGTTTAGCCTCTCCTTTTGACATGTGCATCTGTTTTGACCAGAGGTTGCGCTATTTTCCCAAATGCACATGTTTTGCGAACGTTCACAACTGTTTGCATCTGCACTTGTCCTGCAGCTGCTTGAAACTGGAGCATCACCTAACAAAACAATCGCAACTTAATAAGTCCCCATGACCACTTCTTCAGGAAGCGACAGCTAAGTTTTTTGCTTGGAGTTTTCTTTCCTGGAGTCTTCTTTCCTGGAGTCTTCTTTCCTGGAGTCTATTTAATCTAATTTATGCTCAACATAAATCTGGTGCAAATGTATTCCATGCGACCACATGCAAATTCAAACACTCACAATTGCTATGATGAATTCCCCCCAGAGTCTTCAATCTCCTTCTCTGCAGGCCCAGCCCTCAGCACTCACTGAACATAAAGTGCTCAGTACAGAGGCTTACTGTTTATTCACAAACTGAGGAGGCATAGTATGCTTACTATGTCCCCAGTAATGAATGGACAGGAAGTGATATACGCGGAGCTCCTCCAGGCCATTCATAAACTTATGAATGAGATAGTAAACATTTATTATCTCCCCATTAATTAATAAAGCATTCCTGTTCATTCATAACTAGGGAGATAGTAAACATTCACTATCTCCTCAGGTATAAACAAACACTGGAGTTTCTTCAGTGAAGGGAAGCATTGGTAAATTTTACACATTTACTGATCCTTTACTTGCCATCCTGAACTGCTCTGCCCTGGCTGGGCACTGGCTGCATGATGTGCTCTGTGTCCCCAGGAGAGGAGCGGGGATCAGAGGGGGACTATAGGGGAAATGCAGGGAAGCAGATTGTCAGCTGGAGGCATAATGAGCTTATAGCAGAAGGCTGAATGCAGCTGACAAAAGGCATGCTGAAGTAGCCATCTGGAAACGTTTTGGTTCCACCATATGCCTTACGCTGGTGGTAGGGAAATGGTTAAAGAACAGGTAAACTTAAAATATCTGGTAATAAATTGTATGAAATTGCGAATAAAATTGTTTTCCTTCACTGCAGGTGACACTACCTGTAACACAACGCAAGCAAAACTAAAAATAAACCATTCTTTCACAAATTCAAGAAACAAAGTGTACAAAAACTGTAACGCTGTAGTTGACGTTTCAACATGCAATGGACAATGCCCAAGGAGCATCAGGTAAAACTGTACACACTTGCAAAGCATATCATAAAATGGTTTTTTTAGGGGTCAACACCACATAAGAATGATCATTCAGTTTTTTGTAACTGTAGACAGGTTGAAATACATGCTGACTTTATATTTTATTGTGCTGAAATATCTCCACCAGAATTCCTAGTTCTGCCCAATGCAGCAGCTTTTGAAATACTTAGTAAGAGCATAATATTCCTCAGAAGATTTGACTTATAGCATATACAAACAACTGTGAAATCCAGCAGGGAGAGGCACCTCTATTATGGTTTTGTAAGAAAGATGAGAGGCATAAACTACAACAAGAACATTCTGTTACTTGAGTTTTTGAGAGATATAGGAAATGAACTAGTGATTCAGCACAGTGGTGCCCACTTTTAACTGAAATGCCAGTTTTAGGTGGAGTATACTTAAAAGGTGAAGGTGGAAGTTAAAAAAAAAATTTGATCTGTAAATACACTTTTGCTCATAGGTAAATGTGACTCAGGACAGGAATGACAGATAGTGGTTTAACAGACTCCACCTTTTACTTCCAGAAAATCATGCATGCTTTTTGCTTTTTCAGTTTTGACGACAGTAAAGTGAAGGTTCAATGCAAATGCTGCAAAGAAGAAACCCATTACCCGAGGACGGTTCTGCTGAATTGTTCAGATGGAGGCAAAGAAAACTATACTTTCATGGATATACAAACTTGTACTTGCGCAGGGTGTATATAATAAGCTTAACAAGTATCACTACTAAAGATTTTAACTTTCTTTAAATGCATTTTCAAATCCAAGAGAAAGTTATCTATAGGACAAG